ATAGCTTAAACCAATCATTTAAAACCTTACAGAAATACATCGCGAGATCTCTGTTGGAGCTGTATGTTTGACTTTACTGTTTTTTTTTTTTTTGTCCATCATGAAAAAGTATTCCTGTATACATTGGTATTTAAAGGTGACATTGGCATTACAGGCACATCTGTGGCCGAAGGTCTTTAGAATTAAATGTGTTTTGTTTCTCCTTATGTATTTCTCTTTATAATAGTATCTTTATATTATTGAGCATGGGGTTTTATAAATTTTAAATTCACCCCAAGATTTATATTTACTCATTTATTCGCCCTCGGGTCGTTCACACACATCACATCTGCCAATGAACCGCACTACATTTCCCATCATGTTCTGCAGTCACACACCAGTTCCAGGTCACCTCTTGATTACACACAGCTGAAGCTCGTCATGACTGATTACATTAACTATACACACTTCACTAACACACACACATCTTTGCTAAGCCTGATTATCCCGTAGTGAGGATTGTCTAGCTGTGTTTTGACCCTTGTTTGTTTTACTGTTTGTGTTTGTTTGTTTATGTTTTGTCTTTATACACGCTACTCTTTGGATTATCTACAAGCTACTTACTGTTCCTGTATTGAACCTTGCTTGCCAGGCCCCTCTAAATAAAAACTGCATTTAGATCCAATCCCTGTTGTCAAGTTGCTTACGTATACCGGTTCATTCCTAAACACCACATTAATGGTGGAGCTGAGAGATGAAAAGTTTCGTAAACATTTGCTCTGCTACTTGACTCTCCAGTTTGTTTATGTTGTTGTTGTTCTACTGTCTGACTTCCGTGGAATGAGAAACTCATTCAGAGCAGAAGTAAACATAAGACAAAGAAGGCAAAGTACCAGAACACACCCATCGAAGGTGGAAATGCAACGGACAAATAGTAGCTCAAAGGTATTTTGGAGTAAATACACCCCCCCACACCCCTCCCATCCCCGCCCCCTCAAAAAAAGCTTGCTTTGATGAGAGGTTTCAAACTGACAAATTGAATTCAAAAGATTTTGTTCGAAATGACAGAATTTTTTTGATTTGGTTTAAAGTATGCCAGAGCCTTGAGGTTAAAGGGCTCCTCTCAGCACTATCTAGGGTACTGCGCTTGAGACCTGGTAAAGTGCTGATGAAGGAGCACACTTGCTCCACACTCCACTGTGACGGACTAGAGTCCAGGAGAAGCTCCGAGCCGCTGCTGCTTTCCACTCGGCTCTGCTCTTGCTCTCTGTTCTGCTCCTTCTCTCTTTCAGCTTGTAAACGCAGTCTTGTTGTCATCGGACCTGGTGGATCTTCCTCCTCCTCTCTTTCCATCCACACTGAATTGGACACCATCTGGTTGTCGCTGGCTTGATGGGACCCTTGGAGCTGCTGAGGAAATAATGCATCACAGTAAGTCTCAAGATTGTATTAACTATGGGATTTCATTGGTTTGTAGAGCTTGATTAAAGGGATAGTTCACCCAAAAGTGAAAAGTCTGTCATCATTTACCCAACCACCACCTGCTTGTTCCAAACCTCTTTGAGTTTCTTTCTTCTGTTCGACAAAATTAGATATACTGAAAAATGTTGGAAGCAGAGGTGTATAGTAACAGATTACAAATACTCAAACTACTGTAATTGAGTAGTTTTTCTCAGAAATTGTAATTTACAAGCAGTTTTAAAAAAGTGTACTTTTACTTTCCCTTGAGTACATTTTTAATGCAGTATTAGTACTTGTACTCCACTACTTTCCTTGAACCTGCAGCCACTACTTTATTTTTTCTTAAGCCCTGTGTTTCCTGTCCATTCAAATCGCATATAGAAGGTAAATCGCATCATAATGAACTACCTCAAGACATGAGCGATATAATTACAGCAAACTGTTTGGTAGCATTAAAAGTGTCCAAGTAGATGTCCAAAATCTTTACATACATTGACCCAGAGACTGTTTAGATGCATGTCACTGATGAGAAGATAACGGATGTTTACTGCATGATGACCAACATGGCCTTAAACACCCAGCAGGCACAAGACATCAACATGACTTGACGTTGTACTCCAACATTGTGGGGACGTTGGATTTTGTTTGGAAATGAAAATTGGGTTGACATCACAACTGAACGTCAGGCCGATGTTAGTGTCCAACGTCAAATCTAAAATCAACCAAATACCAATGTCTAATGTTACAGCTTGACGATGTGTGGGCGTTAACACTATGATGTCAATATACAATATACGTTGGATAGTGATTGCCATACTTGACAAATAAATGTCAGTGTTTGACGTCAATATGACGATGGTCACTTTGTAACACAACCTAAAATTAATCAAACATCAACGTCATTTGACATCATTATTAGACATCAAAATAACGTTGTCCTTAGACACTGGCTAGACATTGAATTTTGGTCAGCTGACATCACAACCTAAATCTAACCTAATATTAACGTCTTATATGACGTTGTGTGCCTGCTGGGCAATAACTTAATGTACTATAGAATGCATCCCTTTAAAGTGATTAGTTTTTACTGACCGGCCTGGGCAAGTGTTCTCTAGCACTGCCGTTTAAGCATCTGGATGGTCTTCCTCGCTTTCCCATGGATCTGTGGGGCCAATAGGTGACCTTTTCTTCTCTCAATCGGTTTAGACGCTTTTTACATCTCAGGTTGAATCTGTGAGAGATAAATAGGGCTGTTTGCTACAGTATGGTTTTATGAAATTGCTGAATTAGCATTATTATATTAAAACAAACAATAGGTCTACACTATATATATATATATATATATATATATATATATATATATATATATATATATATACATATTTTTTTTTAGCAGCAAATTAGCAGTTTTTAAGGATCATAGACAATTAGAGAAATGGCTTCTGAAAATCAGCTTTTCTAAGCGTTTTAAAACGTTCAGAAATTGACTGTTTAACATTGTAAAACTGTTTCACAGTATTGCTGTTTTTTATTTATATCAATGCAGCTTCTGTGATGATAATAGACTTCAAAGACATATTAAAAAACACTTAACCACAGCTCTTTACCTTCTGGCGCATGTCATGGAGCAGAAGCGTTTGGATCTGAGAAAGGCCTGAGCCAAGCCCCTTTTCCCACAGAACTCACATTCCAGGACTTCAGGCAGCTTTTCAACTGTCTGTTCTGAAAGCACAAGAGGTCGGATAGAAACATATTTACTGAATAAATTAGGGGTGCATTATTTTTTTGTCTGTACACTTTTTTTTTAAATTACCAACAATTATGATGACCAACAAATATGCAATTGATTTTAGCGGTTCAGTGAGCAAATGATGACAGAATTATAATTGTTGGGTAAACAAATTTTTGGGTATGCATTAGACACTTTCTTATCAACACTTCATGTTTCTGAAAACATTGTGCAATTTTTAGTGTACTTCACGCAGGTGAGTGGGCTTGATAAACTACCTGTTGGTGACAAAGGATCTTTTTCTCTCCGTATGCACCAGACACCTTCATGTAAGCACCCTGAAAAATCTGTGTGTGTGACTTTTTTCCTCTCTGGATGTTTGGATGAATAAATAAATAACCCAGACTTGCCATAGCATGTATAAACTGCAACTCTCTTAAGATTGGAAGCGCTTCTTTTATCCTCACTTGTAAGTTGCTTTGGATAAAAGTGTCTGCTAAGTGAGTAAACATACGTGCCAAACGTTAAGCCTACCGTCCTCTGCTGGTGGGTCATCAATATCGGAGTCACTGGAGCTGTCTGGATGGTCCGCATCTATCAGGGCTGATTCTCCATCTTCTCTGTTTTCTGGCAGTGTGGCCTGCAGGTTCATTTCTAAGGAAACATGTCTCACCTATGAAACACACCAGCACATCAATAATGGGCTCACCAGACAAGCTTTTTGTGTTTCAACTTCTAAAAGAGTGAAGCACTTTGCAACCAGTTCTAAAGGTGATTTTAATAACTGGTTGATCAGCATGTTTGGCCACAGACCCTCACCATCCATCTTAATCTCTTCTGTCAGAGATTGAGATCTTTGACCTGATGGCTCAAATCTATTAGAGAACCACAGGCGTCATTAGGGCTTCATGGCAGCTGTGAATTGCTACATGGTCAACCAATGGACATACCGGGAACGGCTCCAGGCCCTCTCGGATGACGAAGCCCTCAATGAGGTGTGTGAGGATGTGGGGTCTACTGATGGCCTGTGAGGGCCGACCCTCAGGGCTCTCTGGAAGGCTGGCGGAGGAGAGCCTGCTGGAGCTTCTTACCGCAGAGGAGAGGAGGGGAGAGGGCGAGCTGGTGGCATGTGTGGGCTCCTCCGGTGACCGAATCACTGATCGGCTTGATGGTACACATGGCTGCTCCTGATCAGCTGTGGACAGAGGAAGCTCAGGTTAGACCAATTGTTCCCTTTTTTTCCAGGAGACCCCTTTATTTGACCCTACACCACAAAACCAACCATGAGTGTCAATTTGATGAAACTGAGATACATCACATGAAAGCTGAATAAATAATCTTTCCACACAACTATTTGGAAATCTGGAATCTGAAGGTTAAAAAAAACGTTTATAAATGTCACCGCCAAAAGCTTAGTGGTAAAGTGCGTCAACATATAGCACTGAGGTGCCCTATATAATATATATGCCCTACTCTCTACTGTCCTTCACAGTAATGCTCAAAATAATTATACAAAGAAAAATACTAAGACCACTGCCTTTAGATTTATCTAAATGAAGGTCTTGGCAATCCAAATTACTAATCAGAAATTGAGTTTTGATACTTACAATAGGAAATTTACAAAATATCTACATGCAACATGAGCATTAATTAATATTTGAATCATATTTGGCATAAAATAGAAATCTATAATTTTGACCTATACAATGTATTTTATAATTTTGCCACACATATTCATGTGCAACATACATGTTTTGTGGTCTAGGGTCACATTTTGGCATTCAAAATCAACCCCTCACCCCAGAATGAATCTAAGCAGAGAAAAATTAACCAAATATTAATTACAAAATTACGTTTAAAAAAATGATAAAACATTCTTTTCTCTTCAAATGATCATTTGTTTGCATTTTCATAATGCACAATGTATTTATTTTCATTTAATATTTGCAATAATCTCTGACAACAGGTGGTGTCTGAAGCTGGCAGAAATAGAGCTTTCTTGATATCCTTCAGGTTAGGACCACTAAGTTAAAGTTCTGCAAAAGACAATTAAGGGTCTGATACATTTGTGAACTGAACTGAAAGGCAATCTGGTGTGACTAAACCAGGCAAGCTTTTGTAAAAGCATGTAGCATATACTGTGGCCTTTATGAGCATTTTGTCTGGCGTCAGTGTATGTTCAGAGTACCTGTCAAGTTTTCTGGTTGATCTGTTACAACATCAGAGCTTCTCTGTGGTTCATCCGATTGGGAGAGTGTTGGAGAAGAGGACGTTCTGCTATTCTGAGGTGGACTCGCATGTTCTGCATCTGTCACCAGAGTCAGGTTTTCACTCTCCAACAATGGCGTCACCTGCTTAATGTCACAGTAAATACAAGGATAGAAGTACTATACCATACTCAAATGAATAGTTCAACCAAAAATAGTCATCCTTTACTTATCCTCTAGTTCTAGAGTTTTTTTTTGATAAACTTTTAATGTAATGTATTAATATAACATAATAATGTTGCTTCAAAAGAATAAGTTGCTCTTTTCCATTCAATAAAACAGAGTAGCACATTTATTTTGATTAAAAATAAAATTGCTATTGTATAATTGTTATATCAAAGCTAAATTTCAGAATCATTATAATCTTCATTGTAACACGATCCTTCAGAACTATTAAATTACACTGATTTGGTGCTCAATAATTTTTTTTTATTATTTATTATCAATTTTGAAGTCTTAATGTTTTCTGGAAACAATGACAAAAATGTGTTAAACCTTAAGTAACCTTTAGATTAATTTGTTCCACGTTTGTTTAATTTGTTTGTGTTAAATTCAATCTTGCCAACTCCATATATTTGAAAAGAAAAAAACTACAATAAATATCATAAATGTCTATTATATACTATGAGTATATTACTGTATAATACACTACAGTATATTACGAGTATATAGTCTGTAATTTTAATACTCTACGCTTAGACATTTTTAAATCATTCATCATGTTTGATTTTTTTTATTTTTATGGAAAGAGCAGCTTTTGTATTTTACCATGAATAAGAAATGGTTTTAAATCAAAAGTAGTTGCAACATGATGATAGAATTTTAATTTCTGACCGAATTATGCTAGATTCCAGTTCAGCTGCATTATTAATTTAACTAGGACTAACCGATGCTTCAGTTTGTGTTGCCGGCTGCACCTTTAGATCCACAGCCACAGTCTGTGGTGGTGGCAGACTCTGAAAAGGCAGCTGAAGTACAGCTTCAGTGAGGGGCAGCTCCTCTTCAGACAGCAGCGTGTGGTCCGACTGCACCTCTACAGCCTGAACTGAGCGCAGAGCCAGTCTCTGTGGCTGGACCAGCTTTAGAGGAGGAGGGCAGGACAGTGGGGTATACTGGGACACTGGCTCCAGTGCTGGGCCCAGATGAAGAGGTGGAGGATCGGGCAGCACTGCTGGCGGAGATGTGTATTTAGTCTGATTGGCTGTTTGGTTTGTGGAGGAGGGCACTGAGAGGAGTTCGGTTTGCTGTGATTGGACAGTGGCTGTCGTGGGTGTCGTTCTGGTATGCAGAGTAAAAGGTGTAGGAGAGCCGTCCTGCGCTGTGACCCTCAGAGTAATGGGATGGAGCTGTCTGTGAGTGCTGGAGCTCTGCTGGATGATCAGGTGCTGTGGTGCCACCCTCGGGCCGGATGGGCAGTGCAGCTGGTGTCTGATCAGTTGATGAGACTGGACGGGTGTGAACGTTGCTGCAGCAGAGACAGACATTTGGAACAAACAGAAGCTCAGTTTAAACTATTCAGAACTGTCTAAATAGAGAAACATCAGTGGATCTCAACATTTCTTTAATCCTTTTTATTAAAAAAAATTAAGGAATGTCAATGTGTTAAAATCCAGTTTTTTTCTCAGAAGTTTCAGTAATCACATGCAACACTGAAAAAAAAATGGTTCAATGCAAATTTTGGCAAATGTAAGCTGAATTTTAACAAAATAAGTTGAACATTACAAAATGTAAGTGGTTTGTTTAAATTCAGCCTATAAAAAATGTGAAAATCGAATGAATCATTTTTTTTAGTTTACTAGAGACTCACTTTTATACAGAGACCTGGAAGAGACATGATGGTGGAAAAAATGGGTGGGAGAAATAAACTAAGTTTAAGGAGAAAAAAAAAATATATATATATAAAGTTTTTGCCTTCCCTCGACAAACACTTTCTGTTCACTTTATACATGTCAATCCTCCTGTTTTTGCTGGGATTTTCACATATTTTACCATTCTATTCCGCTATTGTCCTATCATCAAGTATTTACCCATATTTCTCCCATATTTTTATTCCTTAAAGCACATTGAAATTAATATAAAAATGTCTGCATTTGCTTTCTTTCCTTTAAAGCTGTGTATCACTCATCGCCCTTCATATGCAACCTTTTAATCAGAGAATGCCCGCTGACTGACGGACACGCTCTGTATGATAAACTGATCCCAGATCAGCTACTGTACATGCCATTTAAAGTAATGACCAGTTATGAAACAAGTGAAGAGCAGCAAATGAGTCTCTCGTTTTGTTTTGTTTGATACCAGAGGTGTCACTATAAGAACCCACAGATCTATGATGAAGGAATTGTATTACTTCAGTAACTCTTTGTGCTCATTTAAGAGAAAATTAATTGTTTAAAAAAACAGGCAGGACGGACATGTTAACTTATTATATTAAGTGTATTTGTCTGTTTAAACATGCACCCAAATCCTAAAGTATCCCAAACCTTTGCTCCTCTTTAAATGGTGTGTACAGAAGCTAATCTGGGATCGCTTATACATACATTCTCTGATTCAGAGGTTGCATTTGAAGGGTGGCGATCAACATACAGCTTTGATGAATAGAAAGTGAATGCAGACATTTTTTATTAATTTCAACGTGCTTTCAAGATAAAAAATATGGGAAAATGCTTGATGATAGGATGACAGCGGGATCGAATTGTAAAATACGGGAGAATCCCGACAAAAACAGGAGGACTGACATTTATGAAGCGAACAGGAAGTGTTAGTCGAACAGCAGTTTTGTGCAAAACATCTTTGCGAGGAAACGCAAAAACTAATAAACGTTTTCCTTTTTTTTTTTCACCCAATTATATTCCCCACCACCACGTCCCTTCCAGGTCTCTGTACTTTCAGAATTACAACTAACAAGCATTCTAATTTCAGATGTTTTTGAAAATTCTGTGTTTTAGGGTGTATATAAATATAAATGTTGACAGTTGAAGTGGATCAAATCTTTTATTAAAGTTGTCCTAAAAGCAAGTGCGCGTTCTTGTCTTAGGATGACATTGAACTTGTAAAATCACTTAAATTGCTGATTACTATCTAAATGACAAAAATACAGTGACCCTTTTGGTAGTGTGTTATAGCCCTCTAGTAGAAGCATTGTGTTATGCAATATACTCTGAGAATTACAGTTATTTATTTATTGACATCGATGGTAAAGAATCTCTCACATACATGGAATCTTTTCACAGAGTGTGAATTTTACATTGGCAATCAGGGGGTCAACTGTTAGTTTGTGTAATACATGCTTCGGTCATTAATGTATTTGCTTTTAATTATATCTAGTTTACTCATAAAATGTTTTTACGATTTGAGGGATATTTAGTGTATTCTGACCTACTGTATTCTCTGATTTTTCAGATTTTACTGTAGGTTAAACTACAAACTATGAGTCTAAATTGATTTTATTTTTAGGTTAAAAATAGATACAAACACCTTTTTTACGAGAAAACTAAGTCTTGTGAACACGATGTCTACTGGTGCTCTTGATTTGCCGCTTTCAAACTTTTTCTGATTGGCATTAACAATAGTTTTGAACCGTTATAGGGGTGGTCAAATGTACATTTATATTATTGATTATTTTAGTTATTAACATTATTATTTAAAATACAAATGAGAGTGTAATATTGGCGACGCAGTGGCACAGTAGGTAGTGCTGTCGCCTCACAGCAAGAAGGTCGCTGGGTCACTGGTTTGAACCTCGGCTCGGCTCAGTTGGCGTTTCTGTGTGGAGTTTGCATGTTTTCAGTTTGCATGTTCTCCCTGCTTTCGCGTGGGTTTCCTCCGGGTGCTCCGGTTTCCCCCACAGTCTGAAGACATGTGGTACAGGTGAATTGGGTAGGCTAAATTGTTCGTAGTGTATGAGTGTGTGTATGAATGAGTGTGTGTATGTTTTCCAGAGATGGTTTGCAGCCGGAAGGGCATCCGCTGCGTAAAAAATGTGCGGATAAGTTGGTGGTTCATTCCGCTGTGGCGACCGGGGATTAATAAAGGGACTAAGCCGACAAGTAAATGAATGAATGAATGAATGAATGAGTGTAATATTTCTCAGTATTATAGAACTGACCCCCCAAACATCTTGTTTTGACCTCCTTCAGGGGAAATCAAGAGATAATTAGGGGGGTCAATCCCAACCCAAATCACACTATAATTAACATCCTGTCTTTTCATTCCACAAAAGGGTTTTAACTTGATGAGGGGAACTACTCACTTAATTGTGGAATGTAAAATATTTATTTTTAAGACGTCACTGCAAAAACACTTGGAAACTTTTAAGAGTGTGGCTTAAATAACATTAAACCCATTAAATAGATTTAAAAAATATATATTTTGTGACTTACAAGGAGGAATGGCTGGTTGGGCGGATGGTGTCTGAGTCACGTTGTTCAACACTGACACGCTTCTAGATGTTTCTACCAGGTTCTGGGGCAGCTGTGTGGACTTGAGTGGGCAAATGGACATCTTGGGAGGGGGAGACACCAGCGTCTGACCCTGGAGAGGAGGCTTGATCTGGATGTTCTGTGAAGTAGTGAGAGCTCCAGGAAGATGTGTGCGAAGAGCCAAGCTTTGAACCTTGCAGAGGACAAAACATACGGTATGAACCTGGAGCATTTATAATCTTTTTATTGATACTGTAGATAGTGGGGCACTCTTTGTGTCCATGACCCAGTACTGATATAAAGAGAGCTGGAGTTCCATCACTCTGTGTTGAAGCACTTTGTGAAGTATGCATGGGCAATGAGTGATGGAAAAGACAAATTTTAGATAAAATTTGCAAAAATGTTTAAAAATGTTTAGACTTGTGGGAAAAAGAGTTAATATGCCATGTGTGACTAATCTGTTTATGCTGACGGTGTCTACTGTTTACCTAATTACCAATACTGCAGTCAGCCACTGTAACAAACTGATGTAAACACACCTAAGTCACATTTAGGATTTTTTAGCGAATTTTAATTCGCTTCAGGGCTGTAAGGTGTCTAATTGGTTAGCACTGTTGCCTAACAACAAGAAGTTCACTGGTTCGAGTCCCGACTGGGCCAGTCAGCATATCTGTGTGGAGTTTGCATGTTCTGCTCATGTTCGCATGGGTTTCCCCCACAGTCCAAAGACATGTGCTATAAGTATTTGTTGATTGGGTAAACAAAATTGGCAGAAGTGTATGAGTGTGTGTAAATGTGAGAGTGTATGGATGTTTCCCAGTGCTGGGTTGTGGCTCGAAGGACATCCACTGTATAAAACATAAGCCGCAATAGTTGTCGGTTCATTTCGCTGTGGCAACCCCTGATAAAAAAAGGGACAAAGTCGAAGGTAAATGAATGAGGATGAATAATTAGCTAGATCTTAGGATGGAAACCTGGCTATGATTTTTTTTTTTTACAACTTTAGATAACAAGAAAAATACTAAAAATACTAAAGAATTGAATCATAAGACGAACACAAACAAATAAAAATTTTTAATAATTTGTAAAGATTTACTATTTAATAGACCTGACATTATATGAACTAATAATGATCAGCTTAGGGATTGACTGCGATAAAAATCTTGGCTGAAGCAACAAGCTTTTATTTGGAAGCTGATTACCGATATATAGAGTGATAAATCTAATAAATATAACCAATTACATGTAATAAATATTTATTTATATGTACATTTATTCTATTTGATAAGTAAAATTTTCTTCTAAAATTTGCATTTCCTTCCTATTTTATGTTAAATGTTTTCACTTTAAAGGGAATGAAAAGAACCTGTACATTGCCATAAAAGTAAAATTACTGAATCTACACACAAGAGCCTGATGAAAATGCTCATTTTAGAACATTACAGATGAAACTCTTCAATTCTTAATATAATTGTTTTCTAATGGCCCATTTCCACTGAGTGGTACGGTTCGGTGTGGTACGCTTTTATGGCCGTTTCCACGGTCAAAAGGTACCTAAAAGCAAATCGTACCGTACCACTTTTTGGGTACACCTAGTACAACAAAAGCCTACCAAAGGCAGAGCAAGACGCACAGCTGAACGCTATTGGTTTACAGAGATACGCCACTCGCTTGTGCAACAAGCAAAAATGAAAACAAATTTTATAATTTTTCATTTTTAGAAAACACAGTGAGACATTAAAATAATAATATATACATATAATAACAAGCTATGGTCGACCTCAAACAAACCTTAAACAGCCACAAAGCCAAGAAGAAGAGCAGAATCTACCCTGTGCCTTGTTGTTTTTTACAAGGCTGTCTAAAGCGCAAGTAGTTTTGCTTTCTCACTTGCACTCGCAGGACGTCTACATTTTTAAATAGCAAACTTCTTCGCTGATGCTAATAACATGCGCGTTATTATTGAAGTGCTTCTGACATCCAATCCTTCCAGAAACGGACAAACGCAAGACTGACATGTGAAAAACAAAGGAGAAGCCGGAAAAAACAAAGGAGCAAATGATTTGTTCAGCAACCTAAAACATGAACAAACTGCCATGTTTAACTATTATCATCACATTTTGGACTACTATGATCTCGGCATGATGGAATTACTCTCTAACTAGAGGTTACATGTGCTGGTGATGTTCAAAGACACAGATGAGAGGTTTGCACTGACTGTAGGCTATGTTTTGTGTTGTTTTTAACCCAAATAAGGACTAAATATATGCTGTGTGTAGATTTTCTGTAATTGGTAACATATCGGGCACTGTACAGGTCTGTATGTGTTCATATATGTTGCATTTATTTATTTTATATAACTGCAGTTGTTACAGTAGGCAATTTCTCACTATCATTGATCTGCAGTTATAATCAAATCCTGTTTATAAAAGGTTAGTAATGAACATGTATACACAAGTATTTAAGTGTATAAAGCATCTGTTTTGTGAGAAGTGCTTCTCATACGACATGTCAGCAACCCATACAGCTTTGCTTTACATTTCTTCGCGCAAGAATGACGTTGAATGAAACTTTCTGTCGAATACCACGCCTTGGTTTTACCATTGGTACCCTTTTAGTAGTAGAAACGCAAGCCTGATGAGGGTGACCTGTACCGACCCGTACTGTGCTGTACCACACAGCGGAAACCGGCCATAAATACACTGGACAACTGATTTCACTTTAAAAACTGCAACAAATAAAAAAACATGGAATTTGCAAGAAAGCCTTTAGATTTTCTTATCTCAAAAGCATTACCAAATTGTGCATAATCCATAATGTATTATCTAATGTAAGTTAGTAATTTTTTAAAAACTTTTTTTCATTTTACCTATACAACGTAATGTTTATATAATTCATGATCAAATACGTAAAATGTACTTTCATATGTTCCAATATACATCAGCAACCCTGTTAAATGCACAGAATACAAAAATAAAGCAAAAGAATATCATTCCATCCCAAATATATCCACATGTGTATATATACAGTAGATACTCTTTTGTCTTACCTGTGATGATGCTGATTGAGAGGAGATTGAGCTCACGACAGTCAGATCAGGCTGGACGGCAGCTACAGTGGCAGCGGGAGTAAGAATCAGCTACAGGTTAAGAGACAATGACACAACATCAAGTCAAGTCACTGGAGACTTGAGAACACCAATGGACTCAAACAGCACAATGCTTTGCGTAAACAGTTGCTCACCATCTGAGTACGCAGGTACATCTGGGCCTGGCTGCCTGTGGGAGAGCTGTTTCCTAGAAGCATGGCCTGCTGGGAAATGGCCCCTCCTGTACTACTGGAGCTAGTGACCTGGATACGAGCCATTGGCTGAGTTACAGGAGAGGTTGGTATGGGGATCTAGAGGAGGAAAGAGATTTTCCTTCATTCATTGTTAGTCAAAATGCTTAAAGATTTCGTTTTTCTTTGATCAGTTTTGAATAGAACAGATTTGTTGGACACTAAAACATGCTGGGATGTTGTAAGCCAATGTTGGGTGATTTGGGTCGAATATGGACAAACCCAACTATTACGTTTTAGACTCCGATCCATGACAATGGCATCACAAGTCAGGTGATGTTTCTTTTGCTTCCAAAGCATTTCAACTCATTTAAAGCCTGCTGTCCATGATATTGGACGTTTGTCATCCAATCAAAAGGTTCTGCCTGTTTTTTTGGTTTTTTTTTGTAATTTGAAAAATATTCAATCAAATTAAAATTCATTGTTATTTCTATAGCGCTTTTATATAAAGTAGATTGTGTCAAAGCAGCTTAAAGATTTAGTCAATTGAAACAGTGTCAGTGCAGTTTTCAGAGTTGAAGTTGAGTTTAGTTCAGTTCAGTGTGGTTTAAATTTCAGTGCTGAAAGTCCAAACACTGAAGAGCAAATCCATCAATATGCAGCTGCACAAGTCCCGAAACCAATCAAGCCAGTGGCGAGGAACAAACTTCACCAACTGACAAAAGTGAAGGAAAAAAAACCTTGAGAAAACCAGGCTCAGTTAGGCACGACCATTTCTCCTCTGTTCAAACTTCTTTTAATGTCCAATTAGCTAATTGTTTTTAAATGCAGTCTATAAAAATAAATCAAAGGTTACAATTTTCAGGTTTGTAATGTCTAGAAGACCAACATTGTGTTTAATTTAATTTTTATTTTCATGTTTTTGCAGCAATTTATTCTTAATTGATAAAAGTTCATTTGACGGAATGTTTTGAACCCATTTTTTAGTGTTTGTTTACCATACAGTATAAGAAGCGTATGCCAAATTAACTCGTTGGTCCAACCATTGATTGCTCTAATGGCCAATGCTAAATACATGATATGAATGAGCTTGTCCATTTTTGACAACAGTTTTTAAAGGTAGTCAAAAAGAAATTCATCTGGATTGCTTTCAAACTGTATACGCTTGTGGTTTAATGTGTTCAAACAGCCACCCACACTCTAAAAATGCTGAGTTGTTTTAATTCATCTTTATTTCTACAGCGTTTTTACAGTGTAGATTAAGTCAAAGCAGCTTAAGGTTCTAGTAAATTGAAACTGCGTCAGTCCAGTTTTCAGAGTAGAACTTCAGTTTAGTTTAGTTTAATTTTCACTGCTGAAAGTCCAAACACTAAAGAGCAAATCCATGGATGCGCAGCTCCACAAGTCCCAAAGTGTGGACCAGCCAAGCCAATGGCTAGAAACAAATTTCACTGATTGACGAAAGTGAAGGAAAATAAACCTCAAGAAAAACCAGGCTCAGTTGGGCACGACCATTTCTCCTCTGGCCAAACTTATTGTGCAGAGCTGCAGTCTAGGCACTGGATATTGGGAAAGCTTGAACCAGTCAAACATGGACTAACACATTGTTGGGTTATGTTTTTCAATTTCACCTTTTAACTCAGACTCAGCTTTATTATCCCGTTAGGGAAACTAAAATTGCAACTAGGTACCATAACACAGGCGAAGTTCCATGTACACATTAATAAAATATTACCACACAACATCCATACATCAGTATACAGAAACATCCCCCTCCCCCCTGGACTCATTTAATGACCTAATGGCCACCATTATAAAAGAATTTCTGGTTCTGTTTGTCCTGCAAATAGGACCCTAAAACGATGTCCTGATGGCAACAGCTGAAATACAGAGTACAGTGGGTGATCCAGGGTGCATAGGATACCCTGAGCTCTCCTTAGAACATAATTATGGTAGATTACCATTAGACCAGTCTGATTAAAACCAATGATCTTGCCTGCCACCTTCACCAGGCTGCTCAGTCTGTTCTTGCTTTACACACTCAGATTGCCGTACGAAGCTACAATGCAAAAAGATAAAACAGATTTGATAAATTGTTTATAAAACAGAGTCATCATAGAGGTACAGACCTGAAATGATCTAAGTTTCGTCAGAAAAAAAGTCTTTGTTGGACTTTTTTTATAGACAGCCTGGGTGTTAGGTTGAAATGTCAACATATTATCATAAAACCGTTGGGTATGTCCATAACTGACCCAATGTTGTGCTTAAAACAACCCTGCATTTTTTTAGAATGGTTATTTCACCTATTGACATGTTGCTGAAGCACACATGCAAGACAGTGTTCAAGCTTTGCTTCTGAAATTGTAACTTTGTTTTGAAAACAAAAATTACATAAAAAGCTCATTCTCTAACCAGTCATGATTTTAACATAAAAGTGTTTTATGTGTGTGTTTTGCATAGTTTTGCTGCTATAAGAGAAGAAATTAAAGCTTTTGCTCTCCATATTTCATTGTCGCATTTCACATTTATATGCAATTGCATGAGCCTACGTTGTAATATTTGATTTTTAAAAATTGTAAAAAGAGGGCCATATAAATACACCTATTTATGGAACCTCCCTACATAAAAATAAAAAAAAATAATAAAAAAATAAAAGCACTTACTGATGTTTGGGTCACATTAGCCAACTGAGGCCCATTTCCATGGGATGATGAAGGGGACGAGATGAACTGACTGCCATTAGTCTGTGCAGCCTGAGAAACAGCAGGAATGCTTATATTATATTATATTATATTATATTATATTATATTATATTATATTATATTATATTATATTATATTATATTATATTATATTATATTATATTATATTATATTATATTATATTATATCAGCCAATCACATGGGACCAGCTGAATTGATTTAGGCATGTAGTGGTTAAAGTGATTAAAACAATATGAAGAACAATCTTGACTATTAGAAAGGGGAACAAAACTGTTTTAAGTGACTTTGAATGTAGCATATTTGTTACTGTCAGATAGACATAAACAGCAAGAGAGCATGGCATTCATCCACCCAATTATGAAGGACAGCCTGTCAAACATACCGACAGAATCAGCAGAGACCCAGCTGTTCTTTTAAACTTAATTGGGATTTAATCTTGAAAGATTGTTGAAAATTTTAAATATGCAAATATGTTAGCCAATCACACTACTAGGCATTTACTTCTCAGTCTACTAATCTACCACATCTATTTAACTCGTCTTCGGAAGAGGGGCTTAAACAGGACAAAAAATTTGCCCTTTACTTTCAGCAATCTTTTGTGTTAAAAAGCAGTCTAAACCACATGCATTTCCATTACAATAAGAGATTTTTGAAAAGAAATGGAGCAAATGGCTGGCTTTCTCCTCAAAGACAACATAATTATCTATAATTGAACATTTACATAATTCTAGAGGTTATGCATAATTGTGAAAATATGTTTGCCAATTTTTTATTATATTTTATTTAATACTTGCTTTAATTATTTTGATGAGATCAATTTAATATTTTTATATATGTATGTATATAGATATACATGTGCGGAATGGATGTATTTGCCAATATATTGTACTTATGTATGTATGCATGTATACATGTATATTTATGTATATATATGTATTACTATTTTTTTATTTGTTTGTTTTGTTCCCACTCGTCATATGTTCTTAAGGCGCAAGCAGTATGTGAACAGCGCATTAGGAGAGAAGGAGCTCATCGGCAGCTGCTGCACAGATCAATCTTTCTCTCTTGTCTATTCTATCTAGTTACCTATCTATCTATAAATACACTTTTCTTTTTTCTTTTTATCTGCACCAAGGCCTGCAGCAACTTCCTCCCATGCTGTTTCCTTAACCTGCAAGTCTTTATTTTACAAAATATATAGATCCTCAAGAACTGTATGCTTCTCATGCTCTAAGGAGTGTCATTCACGTCTTTTCAGGTGCACTCGGTCAGAAGACAATGATATCATTTCATTTTGTTTTTGATTGTCAGGACGGTGTTTGGCGGAGTGCTGTCAAGGACAAAAGTGAAAAGCGGCGAGGGTTGTCACCAACTAAGGTAAAGAGGGTTAGGGAGTCGCGGAAAAAAGTGAAAGTGAACAGCTGAGCGGAGGAAGAAGGTGGTTGAGGAGAGGGATCGGTAAAATGAGGTGCTGGATCAGATTTCAGAGGATCTGGATCCGGAGTTTTCTGGCACCAAATAAGCCCTGGGTCAAACCCTGGTGTCCTGGCCAAAGTCCCTCAATTGGCCCTTACGATCATGGCCTCCCAATCATCCCCATTCACCAAATTGGCGTTATCACTGTCTCTCCACTCCACCAATAGCTGGTGTGTGGTGAGCGCACTGGCATCGTTGTCCTGTGGCTGCGGTTACATCATCCAAGTTGATGCTGCACACTGTTGGTGGTGTGGAGAGGCGCCCCTCATGATTGTGAAGCGCTTTGTGTGTATGGCCATACATACACGCTAAATGCACAATATAAATACACACATTACATTACATTAAACGCATTGCTTGGTGGGTTTCTATGTTTTGGCAAAACACAATTTTTGAAATAAGTCTGGTTAATGATTCCTTTAAGGCATTTCTGAAGAAAAAAGATGGTTCAGGTTTCTTCTAGCAAGGAGGCCAGTGAGTGTATGCTATAATTTGTTGCAAATACTGTCATGTATATCCCCATACCGTGTCTGTAGTTGTCAGAATCTGTGCAGCGGTGAGGTTTTGTTGATGTTGCTGTTGCTGTTGTAGCGCTGCTGTCTGCAGCAGGATGTGTTGTTGTTGAGCTGCATACATCTGTTGCAGGTACTGAGCTGTCATGCTTTGTGGTCTGTGCAGCGTCTGCTGAATTACCTAACAAAACACCACATAGTAAGTCTCCTAAGTACTAGAGGGAATCGTCTGTTTCACAACCACAACATAGAGATGGCAGCAATGTTCAGACAGTATCAAATAGCTTTTTTTCTGTTTCTTTTTAGTTAAATTAAGACCTGGACTGCCTGTCTGTCTGACGAGATGTTTCCCAGAGGAATGGAGGTGCCTGTGGGGGTGGTGGAAGTGACAGTGGTGGAGGCTGTTGTCACACCACCGTCTCCCTTCAGCTCCTCCTGACTCGGTTTATCTGCATCACCCATTAGAGTGGCGTGTTAGCCAACTGAGAAAAGACAATGAAGATAAGAAATCTTAGGAGATATTATTTTTTTATGCTCTATTGAGTGATTGAATACTTCACTTTTATTTTTCCTGAGCTGAATGGTTACTGACTGATAAATAATGATTTAATTTTCATTATGATTACATTTAAGCTCATTACATGTACACTAAATAATAATAATAATAATAATAATGGTAACACTACCATAAGGTTGTATTAGTTAATCATGGTTAATACATTTATATATATATATATCACAGGCAATACAGGTTATACAGAGAAAAGTTTGTATCTGCTTTCTTCAAGAAACCTACAAAGGATCCCAAATTTTGAAAAACTTTTCAGGTTTCCCGCAACCATTGTCCAAAATGCGGTCTTTCTGTATTTTTACAAAAACAAACTATTGTAAGTTTTGCATGTGCTAAATAGAAAAATTTGGACATTTGGGTATATCTTGTATTAATACTATGGATAAAAAGTTTAGAATTTTCTCCCAAAAATGTTCAACCAAAGAGCTTTTCCATAAATAATAATATAGAGTTCCCATCTCTTTATTGCATTTTACACATTGATCAGGAATGTTTGGATTAAATTTGTGAAGTAATTCTGGAGTTATGTACAGTCTCATATTCCATTTATATTACAGAAGTTTGAATTGTGTATTAATTGCGTCATTAATATGTAAGCACATTTATTTGAGGTCTAGTAAATTTTTAATGTCACTGATGACACAATTATAATGGAATCATGACAATTATCTTTATGACAGTTTTATGACAAGTTTTATTGTCTTGATAATGTTAAGTTTTCATGACAAAGATGTGTTGTGATACATTTGTTTATGTTAGGTTGTCATAACAAAGACATCTTTCCACTTAAAATGACATGACTGTGTTCATTCATTCATTTTCTTTTCGGCTTATTCCCTCTATTTATCTGGGGTCGCCACATCGGAATGAATCGCCAATTTATCCAGCATATGTTTTACGCAGCAGATGCCCTTCCAGCTGCAACCCATCACTGGGAAACATCCACACACACACACCATACACAATGGACAATTTAGCTTACCCAATTCACCTGTACCACATGTCTTTGGACTGTGAGGGAAACCGGAGCACCTGAAGGAAATTTACACCAACACGGGGAGAACATGCAAACTATAAACAGAAATGAGAGGGCTCTGGATGCAGACCTGGTGTAGTGCAATCTGAGCTGCATCCAATGCTTTTAATGTGCTCACCTAACCCCACCCCTAACCCTACCCGTCTTGCTGTGACGTGAGTGAGTGCTACCCACTGCGCCACCGTGACTGAATGATGATTATAAAGTATCCTTCATATTCAAGACATGTTATGTCTTGAAAATAAAGTTTTCATGACAGTCTTATGAACACCCCTTCAAGTAAAGTGTTACCATGTTCTTCTTCACACTATGAAACAAATGGCTGTTTTTATTTATGGAACTGTTGACTAGAAGAACTGTTAGCAACCCGAATCTTCAATGGCATCACTGTGAAAAGTCTGTTTTGGAACCTTTATTTTTAAGGGTTAATATCCATTAGTTTTTCAATTATTTCTCTTTCATTTTTGGGGGGTAAAAGGTATCCAATTGTTTTTAAGGACTGAAAATAAAATTAAACTTTAAATAGGGTAAAATATTTTTGAATTTAGTATATAAGAGCCTTTGTTTAATAAATGCTAAATTGACATTTGAGCACCTATTGTTGTATGAACTGTATTTTTTTCATACAGCACATTCTAAATCTAACAACGTAACTCATAAATTAATACAATTAGACAGTATTGGCTCCTTAAGTAAATTATCAAAATACCCCCAAAACAAAGCAAAAAAACACAACAATATATAGCTAGTGGCCAGAGTACAGAGAACAAGAACACATCCTACTGACAAAATCTCATCTGTCACAGTTTTTCAACATAATCAAGTACATTTGAAGTCAGAATTATAAAACCCCCTTTGAATTTTTTTTCTTTTTTAAATATTTCCCAAATTATGTTTGACAGCACAAGGACATTTTCACAGTATATTCTATAATAGTTTTTCTTATTTGTCGTATATGTTGTTGTTGTTTTTTTCGACTTGAATGAATGCAGTTTTGAATTTTTTAAAAATCATTTTAAGCTAAAAAGTATTAGCCCCTTTAATCTATATGTTTTTTCAAAAGTCTACAGAACAACCCATCCTTATAAAATAACTTGCCTATTTACCCTAACCTGCCTCTAATTAACCTGGTTAAGCCTTTAAATGTCACTTGAGCTGTATAGGAGTGTTTTGAAAAATATCTAGTCAAATATTATTTACTGTCATCATGACAAAGACAAAATAAATCAGTTATTAGAAATGAGTTATTAAAACTATTATGTTTAGAAATGTGTTGAAAAAAATCTTCTCTTCGTTAAACAGAAATTGGGGGAAAATAAACAGGGGGGCGAATAATTCTTTCCCCTATCATAGTGTGAGCTGAAATAATACATAAATCCTAATGAGGGCAACTCACAAATAAGATCTTAAGAATTACAAATGCACTCACCAATGCTACAGTAGGCTATAGCTGAGAGATTTTACAATGCACAAACAAAAAAATAACACCAATATACATTCTGAAAATTAAAGTGATCAGCATATTTTTAACCAAGAAAAATTATATGCAAATTTCACTTTTATTAGGTATTATTACATTTAATTTAAGTTTATTTTTAAGTTTTCAAAATTCCAAAACAATAAAATGTACAAATGTTTTTTTTTAACAATTCATAAAAATTTACAATCTAACTATATCTTCAGTTCGTTTTAGTTTCATAATTTAAAAACTTTTTAAATATTTGATAAATATGTAATTAATCTGTTAAAATTATGATGAAAAGTAAATTATTTACATATTTAAATATGGATTTAACAGAATGTATAAACTATATGGCTATTTTATTCTTTTTAAAATTAGGAAGTCATATTTGTTCAAAATTTCTGTCCATATGTTGTGTCTTTCTTTTGGAGAGTTTTTATTTTACAAAGGTTTCAATTCTGTTCTCATTTGGATCTTCATATCTAAACTTCATATCTAAACTGCAGCCATATAGTTATTTGTCACACTGTTACCAAAAGTTGAGAATATAATTAATTAATTTAAATAAAGTGATGACAAGTCGTGCGGTTAATTGCGCATGCTTAAGCAGCGGCGCGATCTCCCTTTTTAAATTCAGTCTCCAGTGAGGTTACTTTTGATAAATGACTAACCCTAGTTTTTACTTCTAAATTGTATTATTTTGTATTCACACAAGCTACGAAACTAAATAGTTAATTGGGCTACATAAGCGATTCTAACGATCACTTTCTGTTCTCTTTTTGAAGCCTGCAGCCATAATTGGTCGCAAAACTAAACAAAAACGTAATTTAAACAGTTATGCCTACTGTAATTAAAATACAAAGTAGCCTGTAAAAAAACCAATTAAGCTTGGAATAATATACGATTAATTTAAAGGCAAATGCAGCCTTTATAAAATATAAATGTGTTTTATGCTAATGTTATAGAATAGTAACCTGAACAGAAGTGAGAAATATATGTCGGAAATCATTTAGAAAGGCGTTTTGTATTAAAAAATCAATAAAATTTTGTGTAACTTCCATATCGACGCATGCAAAACATTGTTAATCAACGTGTTATGGATTATGACATCTACATACACATCTCTAAACTTTACAGAATCATCTATATCGAAATTATATCAGAAACACTTAACAAAACAACGAAAACTTACGAAATGCGCTGTGAAATATTTGGTCAGGCCGATGGTTCATGCTGCCTCAGTCAGTCATCATCTGAGCTGCTTCATCTCTAAGTGCTTCTAATAACCCAGTGACAGAGAAACGCCCACCTCTGACAGCTTTTCGTGGGACACTGATTTATTCTAAAACCCGATTTGACGGGAATCTTTTTCAACAAATGTTTTTTATCATTAAGTGTGCTCGTCTCCAGCTTTGGCCAATGATGTGAGCATGACGCGTGTGTCCCGCATGGAGTGTTAAAGGCGCATCAGCGTGTGTGTGTGTGTGTGCGTGTGTGCGTGTGTGCGTGTATGTACCTGCCTTGTCATATGAGAGCTGCGCGCTGCTGCTGCTGTCTGCGTGTGATTCATTCATGCTGTACTGCGACATGAAAAAGATGGAGATTAAAACACAACTCTACACAGATTCAGACATTTCTGAGCCAGCAGCACCACTTGCTGTGTAGGAGGACTTCGTGCAGCGCTTCTAAAACAGTGAATATATAGCAGTATAATGGCCTAAACTTTTAATCCTCCTTTACTTTCTTTTTGAGTCCTCAGATTTTAGATTTTCAAGTCATCTTTGCCAGTTATTCTTCGATCACAACAAAAGTATATCAATGGCAAAGTAAGTTTATTTATTCAGAATTCGTGATGCGTAAATCTCAATGGTGTAAAGTAACAAATTACAAATACTCGAATTACTGTAATTGGGTTTTAAAGATGTGTGCCGTTACTTTCCCGATACCTGTCCAATCAAATTGCACAGAAGTAAATCATGCCAAACTACCTTAAGACATGCAGAAAACAGTTTGGAAGCATTAAAAGTGTCTAAGCAGATATTTATGACCCAGAGTCTGTTTAGACTAAATATCACTGATGAGAAGAAGACGGGTGATTACTGACCAAAATGGCCTTAAGCAATCACTAAATGCACTATAAGTTTACACACACACACACACACACACACACACACACACACACACACACACACAAATTACATTCATTCATTTTCTTTTTGGCTAAGTCCCTTTATTAATCTGGGGTCACCACAGCGGAATGAACCGCCAACTTATTCAGCATATGTTTTTTGCTGCGGATGCCCTTCCAGCTCCAACCCATCTCTGGGAAACATCCATACACTCATTCACACTCATACACTATGGCCAATTTAGCCTACCCAATTCACCTGTACCACATACATGTCTTTGGACTGTGGGAAACCGGAGCACCAGTAGGAAACCCATGTGAATGCAGGGAGAACATGCAAACTCCACAAAGAAACGCCAGTTGACCCAGCTGAGGCTCGAACCAGCGACCTTCTTGCTGTGAGGCGACAGCACTACCTACTGCACCACCGTGTCGCCCGCAAATTACATGTAAACACATAAAGCTTTTACAGCACAATACTCACTACTTTTGAGTAATTTTCATCGGGCAAATTTTCACACATACTTTGAGTAATATTTACAACAGATACTTTAACTCTGCTTGCTCTCCATTTTTGGGCAAGTAATGGTACTTTAACTTGAGTATGATTTTTCAGTGGCGACGCAGTGGCACAGTGGGTAGCATGTTCACCTCACAGCAAGAAGGTCGCTGGTTCGAGCCTCTGCTGGGTCAGTTGGCATTTCTGTGTGGAGTCTGCATGTTCTCCCTGTGTTTGTGTGGGTTTCCTCCGGGTGCTCCGCTTTCCCTCACAGTCCAAAGATATGCGGTACAGGTGAATTGGGTATAGGCTAAAATTGACCATAATGTATGAGTGAGTGTGTATTAGTTTCCCAGTGATGGGTTGTGTAAAACATATGCTGGATAAGTTGGCGATTCATTCCGCTGTGGCGACCCCAATTTTTTAAATAAATGAATGATTTTTCAGTACTCTTTCCAACACTGATCTCAATTTCCATATATTGACACTTATGACTGACTTTGTGGTCAAAAGCTACACATGAAAACTGATGAAATGCTCTTAAGCCTGTGATGATTAATTGGAGTTATCTGTCCTGGATAGGCTAAACTACTTTTTTTAAGAATCTAGGCTACATTTAACTAACTGAAATAAACTGAACTGAGCTTCAAGAGTGACATTTGCTAAACTGAACTGAATCGGTTACATTTCAACTGTGACCACACCAGCATTCACTACTCTCTTGCTTGGCTGATTTGCTGGAATGTTCCAGAAACTGAAATACCAACACAACTATTTTCTTCATCAATGTTCAGCTGCGTTGTTAATATACATTGTAAAATGCACTAGAAAATTAGATGAGTTAAATAGAATTGCAGTCTTAAATGGTATTTATGGTCCTAAAACCTTTAACGTACATGCAAACTATTATTAGACATGATAATTGTTAGAAACTAGACAGAATGTTCATATAATGGGAATCCAGATTTTTGAAAATGTTTTTTTGTATCTACTGTGTGCTGAAAGATTAGGAGAAATGAGTCTTCTATGCCATTTCTGCAAAATCAACCATTTGCCCTTTACTTTAAAGTGTTACTCTGTGTATTTACTGAAGCAGTTTTTCATGAAAGTTACTTTGAGTCGTTTTATTTGCATTTAACTATAGTATGCAAAGTAAACGAAATACTACCTGATCTTTTTATGAGGTTTACACATTCATTTAAGCTTTACACTTTATTTTTACAACTTAGGTTTCAAATAAATGAAACAATTGAGATGCTCATCTGTTTCAATCTGAATACTAGTCTGATTTAAAATGTGCAACAAAAAACATAGAATCATGTTTAAAAATATTCAGCTTACCAGCTCATCAGCTTTACGTCATTATGCTATGTATCTTAAAATGTCATGTTTAATAAGATGCTTATAATACAAACATTCTGCATGCAAAATACTATGTTAGAGATATATTATTTTGGGGTTTTATATTAAAGAATAACAATTGCTTAATTCATTTTTTTTTTTGTATAAACTTGATTTTATTTATTTAGGTTTTTTATACACAAATGCAAATACACTCAATGTAAGCCACATTTTGTATGTTTTAAAACAAGATTTGGAACTGTACTTAAAAACCACCATCTTGTCTTATAACAAGAAAGCAAATAAAAATTCTAAAACATAAGGTTTATTTTAATATTCTGCATTAATTTGTATTATTTTTTATGTGCCCTCTTTTATTTATTATTATTTTTTGTTTCTTTTTCTTTCACATTGTCTTTCATGCTTTATTATATCTTTATTTCATCTTTATTATACTTCGGTAAAATTGTGAAATTTCTCTTGTTGCAAAAAGTATTACTTGTATTGCTTGTACTATACTATATCTGTTGTAGCTGCCTGTTGTTATTGCAATTAAAAAAAAAATCATATATAGCCATGTAAAACGAGTCGTGATCAATCGTGACATTGTAATAATAGCAGTAATTTCGCCACTAGAAGGCGTCTTACACAGGGGTGTGGCACTGCAAAAGTATTCTGTCGAACAGAACAATCAATTCACAAACAATTGACTCTAATGAGCAGGTATTATGGTGTAACACCTGTTCTTTTACACCCAATCCTATTTGTTTATTTTTTTCTCAAGCCGATAAACAATATAAGCATATACATACAACAACAAACATGCAAAATATTTAGGCTATCTTTAACAATGAAGAAAAATAAATTTAAAAACAAGGAAAACATAAAGAAACAGTTTAACACAAAGGGATATAAAAATACATATTGAAAACGCACAAATTACTAATTTAACATAGGAAAACCTTTGTCTGAAGATTTTGACTTATGAATGTGAAATTTAGCGAGCAGCAAAACTAAGTTTACCACAAACAACTGTCAATACTCAACAAAGCACAACATCTTTTCAATATAAACTTTATCCAATCTTGAGTGTGTGATTTCACGAGACACGTATTGAGGGAATTAATTTTGAAGACTGCTTGAATTAATTTGTCTTTCTTTATGAGTTCAAATGAATCTATTCAAACAAACAAAAAATAAGATAAAAACCGTGTAGACCCAAATTAATGTGTTTGGGGGAACATTTAATAAAACTTTAATAAACAGGAAGAGAATATCCTATATAAAAAATATTTTTTATTTTTGTGCAATAACTTTAATTTTAATTTAATCCATGTATATTACCATTCCTAAATTTTAGTGAGCAAACTCTCACTTTATCGGCATACTTATTAAAACTGTTTTGTTTAAGTGTATGGAACGTAGGATGATTTTCAAGTTCAAAAGTAATACAATCCTAATTAAAAAAATACGGGACAATATTTATTTTTTTTAGGTATATGGGCCCTTTATTACTATACCTAATAATTATTAAAATATCTTCTGTATTTAATAACAAAGACTGTACAAACACACAGCTCGTGCTGCTCTAATTGACTTAACGCTGAAATCAATTATTGTTTACATTTAAATGTTCCTCGTCATTCTGTCACCACGGCAACCTGAGTTGGTTTACAAATCTACACAACTGTCTATAAAGTTATCAATCCCGATCAGCGCGCAACTAAACTCTGAACTGTTGGCTGACTTTCATCAGTTTGGGAAGCTGTTCATGATGCCTCTGCGACGTTCAAGAAGGACCAGGACTCTTCCTGGACACCTCAAGGACTTCTTGCTGGAGCGCGACACCTCCGTGGAGCAGCGACACCTGCGTAACGCGGCTGTCCTTCCTGCCCTCCGTCCTGCAGCTTCAGTCTCCCCAGTGGGTGAGTGGCCACAGGAGGAGCCCCTCTCCATCCACGGTCGGAGTGTGGAGGAATATCAGCAGATCTACCGGAGTGTGATAGACACCACTGTGAAGAAGCGTGCAGGCCGGTACACTCTTCAGCAAGGATTGGAGCTAAAGCAGCGGCTGTGGGAGAAGCTGGACCGGCCCGCACTGCAAGAGACCGAGCAGCCTGATGGACGTGTGTTCATCACGGAGGTCAGATCCGGGTCCAGTGTCCCCCCTCATATCGTGGTGGACATCAGCAAGGAGCCGCTGCCCAAGGAGCCCCGGAGGAAGAAGCCCAGGCACTGAGCCATCTTAGTGCCAGATGGAGGATCATGGGCACGTATGTACATACTGTATATATTGTAAATAGTTATAGAATAAGTTTACAATACATCAAATTTCACTTTCAATTCAAGTTTTCATCACATTGCTGGATGTTTTGGTGATTGTCAGTGCTGTTGGTATTCGGCTCTTGGGGTCTTTTGGATGCTTTGCTGTAGGTTGACATGCGTTTAGGCGATTTCTTGCGTGTTGCTGGTCTCCTCTGAGTGGTTTTTGGCACATTAGTGGTTGTTGTTAGAGTTGTTAGTATTGGTTGTTGGGTTAGGGTAGGTTAGGGTCCCTCACACGGTTTGCAGCTTGACGTGCTGTGAGGGCTTGTGTGCATCAGTGATGCTGAGAGCTACG